TTGGGAAAATGAGAACATCAACATATAACAGCCGAAAGCTTCAAAAAGAAGCCTAAATTGTTGCCAGCAGGCTTTTCCTCTAGTTAAATATACAAGTGAAAATTCCCCTTTAGGAATGTGCACACAGAACATGAGGGGCTTTTTGGAGGAAAATTACGATATAAGCCTTTTTCCAAAAATATCAGGGCTATAAAACATAATTAGATGGCAAGTATGTGAATAATAAAAGTTTAAACCCCTAAGAATAACATGCTTCATTTGACAAGTGTATGAATACAAGAGAAATGTTGTCTTTTTAATTTGTTCTCCAACCACTGAGGGAGCAGCTCTATGGGCAATTTTCTGTGACGCCGTGGTCTAAACCGTCACTGCCTTGGGCCCGCTGGGGAATTTGCTAGATTACATTCCACTTGGATTAAATCCCCCCAGTCCGACATACAGCCATGCTATGGTAAACATCTGTGTTTGTGCAGGGGGAATATAAGGAGAGAGAAGGTAGCGGGAGGTGAAGGAGCAGGTTTTTCTAAAACAATGATCCATGATTTGTTTTTTTTTTTTAAGAGATGCTTCCATTCTTGTTTATCGTGTGATTTTTAGTGTTGAAGAGCTAAAATAAAACCACGGCAAATGAAAAAGACTTTCGGTAACAACACAAAAAGGGGGTAGCACTGAAGGGACCAGTCCACTCAGCTGACAGTCATTCATGAAATTTAACTCTTAAATGACCTCTGTTAATTCTGATATTGCATTCTGTGGGATGGCTCAGATAATTTCCCTGAAATGGAAAGCAATAGGCAAGAGCTCAGTTTTCCAACATCTTCCCCTACAGGGGTATGAAGAAAAAACAAAGCAGAACTCACCATTATTCACCAGGACATGGAGTGGACAATTCTTTGCTCTAAACTGCTGCACAAATTGCCGTATGGACTTCATGGAAGCCAAATCACAGTATAAAAACTCCACTGTGAAAGAAGACACGAACAAATAGAAAATAGAGTTATGTAATTTACAATGACACAAAAACACACTTATATAGTCCAATAAGAACTCCTGAGATAGTGTCACCAGGAAAATAAAGATTGTAAATATATACAGTACTTTTGAAAACTATGGCTGAGGCCAGTGTCACAAGATTCTTTCTTTTCTTCCTTTTTTTCTTTTTATCTTCAAGCTACTCATTTTTCACATCAAGAATGTGCTACTGACAGAGCATAAATATCTTCAAAACCCGCTTGGACGCAGTCCTGTGCCACATGCTCTAGGTGACCCTGCGTGTGCAGGGGGGTTGGACTAGATGATCTCCAGAGGTCCCTTCCAACCTTGAGCATTCTGTGATCCTGTGATTCTATGAAAAAGGAGTATCAAAGGGGGCAAATATCAAAAAATCAATGGGGAGAAGGGAAAGCATATTTGGCACAGAAATGTTTGTCTGGCTCTGATGCCAAATATATCTGCCTATGTGTTTTTAAGTTTATCTTCTGTGTGTTTCAAAGTATATTTAACGCCGGTGTGTTTTTCCTAAGAAAGTGGATCTCCGGTAAAAACACCCGTCATCCAAAGCATTAGTTAGTCACAGACCCTTACTAGAAACCTAAACATAAAATAAAATAACAATTTATTTAAGCAAATAAAAATTACCTCTATCCCGCAAGAATTTTAAACTCATTAGATTTGAAAATTCTGCTCTTGTCTCTGTTGTTCAGTTTCACTCCCTGTTTCGCACCGTGTGGCCTGGTGAAAGCATTAGACAGAGTAAACAGGCTGCAGTTAAGAGACCTTTTCTGTTACTGCTTTGCCCTCTCCATCAGCATGTCCACCAACCTATTTTACCTCGTCACAACTGAGGCCACCAACCACTCCTATAATGCCACTTTATAGCATATCTTTACAACAGTGCTGGAGCAAGGCCTGCATAGAACAGCAGCAAGCTAAGTAACAGAAGACATTCACAGCTCTTATTGCAGTCCTTTATAGGAAAACATTTCCTTCAGTTGTATGCAGTACACATCTTTAATAGCTTGTATATTTTGACCTCAGACATCGGTCTATTGAAATGGTCTTAGCGAATTTGTATAATTATCTAATACCATTTTCAATAATCAACAAAACTGGTTTCAAAAAGAAAAAGAGTTTTCTAAGTAGCTGTAAATTCATACCATTAGAACAACATTAAAAGATGGATAAGACCATGAAATTTCTTAAGCTCCCTACAGACTTATATGAGACCTGCAATTTTGTTTAATTTAACTGATTTGCTGCATCTGGAAGTGATAAGGAATTTCAGAAGCTATTAACTTCTGATGAAGAACAAAGGTATTTAGGTCAATCCTCTTGCGGCCTGGCAGCCACATAAAACCACATGAATGACACTGTAATTGCTCACATACACAAAATCTGGTTATACCAACTTATTAGTAAATAATGCAACAATGAACAGAGTAAAGATCTATGTGAATGAATCCTTATACTGAATCTACTGTTGCTCTATTTCTCCAGACACATCAGCCAATAAAGAGATAAGGAAAGGGAGATCAGCTTCTTAACAGGCAGCAATCCACACGACCAATGGAGAAATCACAGAGTCACAAAATCACAGACAACTGGAGACCATCTAGTCCAACCTGCCCTGCTCAAGCAGGGTCACCTTCAGCACACTTCCCAGAATTCTCCTCTCAATGCAAAAATAATCACCTAGGTACAGAATACACGGAACTTCCATCATCACCAGCATTTTATGCAGGATCCAACCACATCTTCAACACCTGGGAGGTGTTGGATTTTGCTAATGCCACTGCATGCAAGGAAAGCAGTTCCCTGCAGACATCCCTAAGCTAAATTTTAATCTCCCCTCTCATCTTGCCTCAAAATTGTCCTCTTCTGCATTGCCTACAGCAATTTAGTCTGTGGTTAGGCAGCTAGTGTGGCAAGACAAGTGCTTTTCATGCTGACCAGTACTGTCTCCCATCCCTTAATTCTGTAGTTTTGCAGGGCAAACACTGTCTTTTGTCATGACTATATTGTGCCTAGACAAATAGTGTACTACAGCAATACTATCATTACTAAGCTTATTTACTTGCTTATTTTGGAAGTGTGTCATCATATCCAGTATTTGTAAAGCACTTTACATCAAAGATCAGAACATGGCTTGGAAAGGAAAAACAAACAAACCCAAACCAAATTTCCTCTTTTTGCTTATGGGGCAGAAACAATAATGGCCAAAGTCATTATTCATGCTTATTCCTGCATCATGCTTCTTTGCCAGGTAGGTCGTTTCACCAAAACGAGCTGCTTGCTGACTCAGATGCCATTTCATTCCAGAGAGATTGTCAGAAAAATGCCTCCAAGTCATGTGGTGAGTCAATTGCAGAGCTGCAAACAGATACAAATTTCTTCTTTGTGCCATAGTTGGAGTATTTTTTTAATAGCATAATGAAGCACAAGAAGGTAGAGACAATGGCCAGTTTTCAAAATATTCTAAAGCTTTGAAAAATTTACTAGCCAAGTAATTTTTTCTTAACATTTTTTAATAAAGCCCAGCATCTAATCATGAACATAGGATCAAACCTGAACTTTAACTATCAATGTGTCTTGAACAACTGCTTAGGAACAATAATAATAAGAAGTTTTCTGTGTGGACAAGGTGTGAGCAAAATGAGTAACAATGTACAGTAACAGCATGCAAACAGTTGTGCACTTACCAAAGTTAACGTTTAGAAATGCTATTTCTTCAGTTTGTCTGCCACTAGTCTTAAAATCATTCATGTACCTATAAGGATGGTCATTTTGTTTTTGAGTTTAATATTATAAAACTTTTTTTAAACTAATCAATCTCTTTTCTTCATTATTTTTTTTTAAGAATAAAAATGGGGAATAGAGTCTACACGTAGAATATCCACATTAATGGTGCTGAAATACTCTAATTTCTACCTTGTTCTATTTTCTCCTTCCTTCTCTTTCTTTCCTTGCTTTGACTTCTGGAATGACAGACATGCATGTCAGTATTTCTTCCTTCTAGAGGATATGTCTCTTGTTCTTGTCTTGTTAATCATTTCAATGAAGGAAATCAAGTACGTCTTTAACAGATGCTGGGTAAAATCTTTAAGACTCTTAAAAAGAGTTTACTCTTATTTTGCTGTAATTTGAGAACTCAATTGTCAGAAACTTATTAAGTAATAAAAAAAATCTATCCAAATTCTTAGAATATCA